GGAAGATGGCCACAACTGACTGAATGCTCAGTGAATACCTCATGTAGCAGAAACCCAAGAAAGAGGAGCAAGAGCAGTAACCATCATGGAATGACAAGTCCCCGCACAGTATGTACCACCAGCAGATAGAGGAAGTAGCTGACATCCAGAAATCTTACCAGTGGCTCGGAAAAGCTGTACTGAAAAACAGCACCACATTTCCAAAAAAACCGCAAACCTCCCCAAAACAGAAATCAGAGCTCCAAACATAAACTCAGTAATAAGTAGCTCCACCGTAATTGTTGATCACGTCAAAAATTCGTTGCAGCATGCTTGATACAAGCATTTCCATGAGGTGAGTGGGAACATTTCTCCAAGTGGTAAAACCAGAGGCACAAAAGGGCATCTACTGTCTGGAACTGTTGTCCATTTTTGTAAACTACCCTTGCCATCTATCCCCAAGGGTTCTCAAATGGATTTAGATCAGGGGACACGCAAGATGGTCCAAAAGAGTGATGTTATTCTGTTGGAAGAAGTCCCTTGTGCCGCTGGCATGTGTACTGTAGCGTTGTACTGTTGGAAAAACTTTCATTCACCTTTCAATGTCCCATGTTTGGTGCTCTCTTGCAAAATCCAAATGATCAGTTCTGTGGCGTTCAAAGAGACGAGGCCTTTGAAGATGTTTTTGTTTTGGAAGCCCTTCAGACTCAGATGCCATCTGAGATGTTGTTTCAATAAATTGCATGCGCAAATTTTTTTTTTTTGTCTCAATTCAATTTCTTAATGTTGAATGTTGAAGCTCTACTTGGAACCTTGTTAAGATCCAACCATGCAAACTATAATTTTTTGCCATTTTTCAAGTGGTCTTAAACCTTTGATCGGGACTGTATGTATAAAATTTATGTATATGTCTGTGCGTGTATATGTATGTGTGTTTTTAGACAGACACTTCAATAGCTATTTTTCTAAGTAAATAAATTGCACAACAAAACACAATTCTTGCATATTCTTATATTTATTTTTAATATCTTTGTTTCGTATTATCTATAAGATGGCTGATGAATGTTACTCTCCCAAAGAGCAGAGATGCTCTAAAACAAAGCTATTGATTTTCTCTTAAAAAGAAGCCTTTTGCATGAGTGCCTTATCTTTGGCAACTTGAATCCATAGAGAAACGGGGTGAGCATTGGTTGAAAAATGAGCATATACATAGGTAAAATTATGCGGACTTCATTTGGTACCTGAGTGATTATAAAGTTGGAATCAATAGAGTGAAAAATTGAGCCAACAAACAGGTTTGACACAGAGACGATCTGAGGGGCACAAGTAGTCGCAGCTTTCTGCTTGTTTTCTGTGGATGTTTTTCGACAAACTGCCAAGATCTTCACATAAGACACTGAAATGAGAGTGCATGGTATGAAAAAGCTCACAATGAGAAAGAATATATCAGATAAAAAGCTATGGACCGAAAGTGAACATGAAAGTCTAATTATTAATTGGTGGTCACAATACACATTTTCAATATTATTTCCACAAAACTTCAAACTGAAGATGAATGAAAATGATAGTATTACACTTAGGAATGAATATATCCACACAAGCAGAATCATGAAATCTGTCATATGCCATGGTTGCTAAACTACAAAACTCAGCAGGTGCACTTGTGTACATAAAACACATCTGCAGAAAACACCACGGCAGGGTCACT